TCTCGCTTGACAGCGTTAAAACGAGTGATTGCGTTTTATTGAAATATCGGACAGAATTCTCCCGCCCAGGATCTTGGAGCGGTTTCGCGCAGAGAAACGCAAGCATTGCGTGTAGTATTATTAGAATTATCGCCGGTCCGGTCATTAATCAGTATATCGAGCTAATTAATAACGTGTAATGGTCTGGTCGGCGGACGGATCCCGTGATCTCGGGCACTCGTGTAGATATCAATATCGATAGTTGTGTTCCCCTTTTGCAATCTCCTTTTTCGTCTTGTTTTCATCTTCTTACAGGATTATCGCATTAAGAATTATCGTGATAAGCGACAGAACAGCCTTTCTATCGCTTCCTCTCGCAGCGCCGTTTCTTGCCCTCATCAGAGACGCAGTCTTGGAGAGGATTACCAGATGTTTCTCAATGTATCGCAAACAAACTTATCGAATCCTTATTGAATTTATGTCTGAATCAAGTTTTGCATGTTGTTTTCGCATAAATCTTTTGCGCCTCTGAAAAGGATCGAAGAGTTTTTACATTAGGCAGATGGGGCGCACAAAAAACGGATACACGGCATAATGACGGCGCTAAATGAAGATGAGAATGCGCATCTACCTTAGAAATGGAAGGCACTGACTACGCGAACGCCGGTTCGAGTTCGCCCGTCGAATCGGCTGTCGGACCGGATGTCGAAGTCGATAATCCAGTTTTCAATTTCGAGAATGACACGCTCTCCGAGTCTTGCTCGTCTTGCTCGCACGCTCGCTGGAAGGAGGCACGAAGACCGATGGCAAATAAAAGTACGATTAGCCGAGGGACAGAGAAAGAGAGAGAGACAGGAAGATTTCTTTCCTTCCTCCACGAGACGTTGAGGCAAGTCGATGTACGCGTTGGGGTGGCAACGAGGGGGCGAAATAAAACGAGCGGGGGAAACGCGAGGTCGAAACGCCGAGAGGAGGAGGAGATGGACAAGAAGCGAGGAAGAAAGAGACTGACGACCACGCAGCCGAGGAAGATGGGGGAGGAGGCGAGGGTAGCGGCCACGGGAAAAAGAAAGCAAGAGGAGGGAGATAAAATAGGAATAAAGGGACGGAAGAAACGTAGATCGCCGCGAACTTCAGAAATGTCATATCCGTCAGTGTCCGGAGCTCTGCCTTCTGGAGGCAACCGGTTCCAAACGCGCGCCCGCCGGTAGACGATTAAGTATTGTCCGCGCGAGTCCTCGATATACAGCGCGGGGCAATTACCGGGAGGGGCGGCCTGTCCTTCGCGAGATAAATAAATTAGCTATAGGTGGACGCGAGACTAGCTCGCGAGCTCCGATTCAGGATGTTACCGTCGGCGCGGGAGATCGCGCAAGAGACTCGCATTGCGTGGACGCGGCCAGGGACAGGACTTGCCGCGAAGAACGACTACTCTCTCAGGGATCTAATCGCCCAGCAATGCGTGCACGACCGTGCCGGTTGACCAGTCGGTCGTTTCTTCTCGCACGAAAGAACGCTCGGATCAACCGAGTCGGCGGCACCTCGGGATCGGGAAAAAAATAATTTCGTGTCGTAACAAGCAATAACTTCTCGAGACTTAAATTTTCGCGTGTAACATGTATATGATGTAAACAGTTGTTAAAAAATGTATATAATGTTTTAATTTAATTAACATATCTTTTGCGATGAATTTTTATATCAATAACATTATTAGACTTGACTTTATCGAGAAAAGTGTCGCAACAAGCGATAAATTCACGAGACTTAAATTTTAGTACATATACGTATAGTATTTTAATTTCATAGACATGATTTTGTCGAAAAAAAAAAAGAACTTGCTTTAGACAGCTCGGGATTAAAAATTGATACTAGCTGTTTGGAAACAAATTCAACTCAATTTGAAAACTGCGTATAAATTCTGAGCAGCTTTGTAAATTTTATTCGAGAGAACCGTGTTTCGCGCTTATACACCCCGTCATCTTCTGTGTCACCGCCGTCCTGAAATTATTCTCCATTTGCTAATGATCCCCCGAGTCACAGTTGAAAGCCGCTCGTCTGGAAACTCGCCCCGCGCGTTCTCGTTTAATAACCATTAGCTGCGCGACGTGACGGCCAGTAGGTGCCGGCCGACGATTTTCGGAGTGTGTTAGCCCTCCCCCCTCTCGTGCCGTCCGAAGGGAGAGCGAGAGGGTGTCAAAGATCTAGAGCAGATAGCGGCGCGCGGCTATATTGATGAGGTGGCTCTCCGCGTATTGATTCCCGGGAGCGGAGCGGAGGGTTTTCCCCGGGCGCCTCCGCTACGTGCTCGCACCACCCCCCCCCCCCCCCGGACCCGCGCGGACCCCTTTTGCTACGCGCAAGGGTTGATAAGATCCGCCAGATAAGGCATGATTACACACCGCACCGTAGCTACCTTTCCCCTCTCGCCGAACCTCTCTCTCCCATGGCCCGCCGCTCGGCGCTTCATTCCCGAGGTAAACAAGGGTCCTCGCGATGGACGGCCGACACAAAAATGAATCGATGGACGATGGGTTTTTTTTCCCAAGCCGTGTAAATTCATCGCCCCGTAATTGTTAATGATGACTGATCATTTATTTAACGATTGAATTTCATCATTTTCGAAGACTTTGGAAAATAACGCTGGTTATTTGCGATACCGGTGTAGTTGATAATTTATCTACGATCTTTAAAGCTTCGATGCGACGTTCATACAATAACCAGGTCAGCATCGATCACCTCGGAAACACTCGATCACGCACCGATCCGCGAAACTCGTCCCGGACGACAAAACGCGAGACTGCACTCGAAAGAGAGGAGCACTCGAGAAAAATCGTTGCGAGAAAAATGCGGAGACACTCGGATTCGTACTGTTTCAAAGTTCATTCTGTATATGTGTGTCTGTGACGCAACGTACGGGAGGGCGAAGGGACAAAGGAGGGCAATTTTGTGTTCCGCACAGGGGACACACACGAGCTATCCCTCTCGCTTAAAGAAATTTCAATAAGTCCGCTATTATGCGAACCAGGGAGGGCGGGGGGG